TGACCAGAGCAAAAACGATAAAATTTCTGACCAAAGCACACTGATCTATTCTGGCAAATTATTTTTATCTAGATCAAAAAATCCTATGGCATCTCTGATAGGTTCGAAATAAGGTGGCTTGCTTAACGCTTCAGTGGTGCCAGCATGACAAATGCGAGCACATGCCCAACTAAAACCTTATTTGCGAAGAATGTGATTGAGAGTTACCTGACTGATATTTGAGCTTCATCATTAATCGTCATTGTTTATTATTTGTTACTGTCAGGGATTGAAAAAAATCGCTGCTATACAGTAGATTGGGTAACTACTAGTTCCTCTGTACTATTTTCACAGACAAACCGACATGACACTTAATTGTGGCCTACGTCGATTTGGCGTAACTTGTAGCTCGCACACGCTTACTAACACCACTAGCAGGTACACAGCAAAAAAAGTTGTTGAATATTACATCGAAACTGCTGCAACCAGGTCAATCCATCGGTTGTGTAAAATCACATTGTACGATGTACATCGATTTTGCGAACAAAATTACATCCATTGATGTAATATTGTATCTGCGTTTTGCTATTACATGATTATTTCATGCATCAGCTTGAATTACGTTGATCGATATTACATTTTTTTTTGCTGTGTAGGGGAAAATTTCCCCTATCTGATGATAATGTTAGCATCAGGGCTGGTAAATGTCATTTTCAATGAAAGATCTCACGCGATATTTACAGAGATACTTCTGTCACTATCATTGGATGAGAAAACGATGATAGAGATTCTTCAAAATCTCATCGAATTTTTTGTCATGACAGAAGGTGACAGTATTGTGATCATCGTAATTACTAGCTACCCTAATAAAAATTGTATGGTTAATTTGCTTAACGACGTGATCTGGGTATCATCCAAACCATTTGTGGAATAGTTCAATGATTTGGGTTATCGTTCGTCTATGGTTATTTTTTATTAGGGTAATTTAATGCTATTAAAGTTACTTGTACCGATGAAATCTTAATAATGTATTCACTCTACCAATTACATACGGTTGGTGGCTTAAATTCATCTAAATCAGTTAGAAATGTTGATGTCAAAACCACATAAGAATCTCGATAAGAATTATTCTCATGAGTGCTTGATCATTGAAAAATGACAAGAAAGCTAATGATAGGTAGTTTCGTCTCATGAAAGTGATGTTTTCTCATCGTCACATGACGGCCGTGATATTAACCAGCTCTGGTTAGCATGCGAGGGTGAGCTACCAGTTACGCCAAATCGATGATCAAATGCATTGTTTACAAAAACTTATACGTCCCTTTGAAAAAGTTATCGAGAATTAAAGTATAATGTTATAGTACGTTCAGACTACAGAGTTATAACAACAATCAATACGAAACTAACGATTTTAAATCGGCTCACCACTTTAGTAGCCTATTGGTCCCAAGCAAACGATTAACGTACCCTATTCTAGTTGAAATTCTATTACTACACTATGTTTGTTTTGATTCGCTATGAAAGTTTGACAGATAACATCAGGGGTGTGTGGATTCATGCAGAACATGCAGGGGTGAGTGAAATAGCTTGGAACTGCTTGGGACCGTTGTTCTGGTACTGAGTGAGCCAAAAATAATAATGATTTTCTTCGGGACCCAGTGGTCTTAGAGTTACCTCTATGGTTATAACATGTTATAGCGCTATCTTGATGGTGGTTTCTGTGTTGCAATTATTTGACAACCGTTATAACATGTTATAACCAACAATCAATACGAAACTAGCGATTTTAAATTGGCTCACTACTTGACTAGCCTATTGGTCCCAAGCAAACGATTAACGTATCCCATTCTAGTCGAAATTCTAGTACTACGCAATGCTCGACGCAATGTTTGTTTTGATTCGCTATAAAAGTTTGACAGATAAAATAAGGGGTTATTGGTTTTTCCTATGTTTAGAGGGGTGAATCGATTAGCTTGGGACCGAAGAGAGTACCAGAGCTGAGCCAAAAAGTTGAGCACGTTATTTCGGGACCTTCTAGTCTTAGAGTTACCTCTATGTTATAACTCTCCAGTCTGGACAGTGTTTTATATAATGTTCCACTTCGACCACAATGATTTGTACATTTCGGCAAACAAAGCGGACAAATTCTTAAGCTTCCAGGTGCTCCCACATAACACTTTGTAGTTCGTTTAACAAATCTTTACGGTTCGGATAATAATTCCACTGTGAGCAAACAAATAGGGCCCGAAGAAAAAAAGTGCCGAAGCCGTCATCAAATCAAACTCACAAGTAGAAAAGCTGGAGATGCTCTTGTATACCAATTATCGCTGAATCACAAATCCGTTGTTAATATTGGTAATATAGAATGGAAGTATCTCGATGTTTGACTTAGCAGTAACGCGGAGAAAAAAATCGTTAGGATATTGGAGTTCTCCAGTTTCCCCGTAGTAAGATAATCATTCATTCATTCATCATGTCATATGCTATTATGATTGAGCATGAGGTTCTAGAAATTATAGAAATTCAGTGTACATATCAGTGCCAACATTTCAAAGGGGCGTTATTGCGTTTGTAAACAATGGCTTTAGCTGTCGATTTCTCGCAAATAGAAGCTCGCTCATGAAAATTAATGACACCTACAGGTAAATGAATGTTTCCTCTACCACCTAGTATTGTTAATTTGGAGATGTGAGCTTTTATTTGCGAGAAATTGATGGCTAAAGCCATTGTTTACAAAAACAATTACGCCCCTTTGAAATGTTGGCACAGATATATGTATATGAATATATAGACATCGACCAAATTTTGCGACGTTCAGTTCTGAGTTGAAGTGAGTTGAGTTAAACCAAATATAACATATTATCAATCAGTGTTGGAAAAGTTCGCGATATTTCACGAAGTTCTCCAAGGGAAAAGTTCGCGAGTCATAGTGATTTTTTGCGAACTTTTCCATCACTGTTAACAATACACACTTAGATTTTTTTTTGCCGAGATGGGCACCACCGAGCAGCTCGGCATTTTATTTTGCTGGAAATTCAGCAAAAAATATGTTTGTTAGCTGAGATCTCGGCAAAATTCCCGTTTGTTAGCTGAATCTCGGCAAGTTTTTCACTGAGATCCAGCAAAATAAAATGCCGAGCTGCTCGGTGGTGCCCATCTCGGCGAAAAAATCTAAGTGTGTATGATCCATTCATGCCTTTTTCAAATATTGCAATTGCGACCTGCAAAATATTGCTTCACGCACCATCTAGCGTTGAAAAAGGTCAGCAACAATCATTCAATTACAATCGAGGGGTGCGAATATAGCACTTATTACAAACGTAAGAGTCACATTATTTTCATTAATTACATTGTATATATTACTTTAAAATTTGTCTGACATGTCACTGTTGTCATCAAATAAAAAAATACGCTGAAATACATTCATTTGAAATATTAAACAAATTTTCATTTGGTTTACCCCTCGTGACGATAAACAAATACATTGGTAGCCTTTTTTCCACAGAGGTACTTTCATCGCTAAATATTTGGTTCGCCAGCTAAGCGAAAGAGTGGATCATATTGTTAATATAATATATTTGGTTAAACGTCTAATCCGGGCTTCACTCAACTCTCACATTTGGAGATGGATTGGATATGCAGGACCTTAACTTCTATTCCCATATATCTTAGGTGGTGGCCAGGGTAGACGCGACACGCGCCGCGACGCGAACAATTCATCTTATTATTTATTATTATTTCTTGAGTGAGTCACATCGCGTGTCGCGTCTACCCTGGTCGCCACCTTATATTGTTCTACTGCAACGTCCTACAGCTTGAGCGATACTCTTCAAAAATCATGGGTGCTTACTTTCTGCAAGTTGATAAGTTACAGTGCAACAAAATAGGAACAAGTACACAGTTGCTTCAATATTAAATTCGAATCAATTAAATGTATCAAACATTCAGCTTGCTTGTACATCGGGGCATGTTCTGAAAAACAAATTGATGTATTAGGGTTGATGCATATATTATGTCACGCTCTAGGGGGGAGGTGGGGGGGTCTAAGATTTTGAGACAAGCAATGCATTAGGTATAGGAAAAACGTCACGATAGGGGGGGGGGTAAATTTCTCCTCAATTTAACGTGACATAATTAATGCATGGGCCCTAACTGTTGCCAAATGACTAAATTGCATTTCAATCGCAGTTGGCTTGATATAAGAAATGATTTGGCTTGTTCGATTGGCTCGAATGTCTCGCTGAATAATTGGCTTGGCTTTTGAAGGATAGTTTGGCTTTGGCTTCGACAGATCGGTTCAGCCCGCTCCTCTCTTATACTAGACCCTCTCTAGTTCTTATGTTTGCCGCCAATCAATTCTAATTGAAATTTATATTTTAAAATCTGGAGAAAACCGTACGTAAATACCTACATAGGAAAACATACATATCACAGTAAACAGTGTTTATGCTTGGAACCATTTCCGTGAAAAGAAAGCAGAGACAAAAATCTTTGGATGTAACACCTGGTTGAGTACATGGTCATTTGCCCTTTGGATCGAATGTGAGAATAACTCAACGACCGTGAAAGTATCTCATTGACCTTGACCTGCGTATGGGAGTAAACAGCATCGTCAGCTACAATATAGACACACAAAAGAGGAAAGCAAACTGATCAAGGAAGACTGATCAGTGAAACAGACACAAGTACAACACGTCAATGACTTGCGATCATAACAGAATAATACACTTTCTGTCAGAGAGATGAAATGAAAAGCAAACCTCGACCATGGCGCGTAGATTTGGTGATTGACCTTCCCGTTACGTTTCAAGAGAGCAAGAAACGTGCAAACAGAACAGGATCTTCTTGCAAAGTTGTAAACGAAACTGCATAATAACAAAACAGATTATCAATAAGCTTTGGCATGAATCTTGGTAGTGGTGAAATGATTACACATGAAGTAAATATAGTAAGAAAAATCAAACACTTGCATGAAACTGATAAAGTGTGGAGAAATGACCTGTGAGTTCTCCGATTCTGAACGTTTAGACGTTGGTATCAGTCAATCACGGTCCGCCAGTTGGAAAGGCAGTGTTCGAGCAACGCCGAGGTAAAAGTAATCTTTGTGCTACTGGTGATAGTTGCATACGAGTGATTCGTTTTATGATTGAAGATCAAGCTGTTTATTTAAAGTAATATCAGTTGGCTTTTTGCTGTTGCTAGCTGGAATTTAATTCCATAATGTGAGTATGGTTTCAGATTTATATGGATTCATTAAAGTCAACGGTTACAATCTACTCCTTCCATTAGGCGTTCGAAACTCACTCTGGAGCAATTGAATGCCCTAACGCCAAATGAGTTTCACAAAGTGTTTGAAAATGTAGTGGAATGTTGGCCTGAAGCAGCGATCTTCTGTTCGGCGATGCTGCCATTCAAGAGTTTTGAATCGATGATCATAATCTTCGAGAACTATCTGCAGCGGTTGAGCGATGAAAACAAGCTTCGGATCTTACGCTTGCATCCCGACCTGGCTGGTAAACTGCTGGATTCGCATCAACTCACGGAAGAATCAAGCTTCGAACAAGCATGTGCTGGGTTGGATAAACTTACGCCTGAAGATAAGAACAGATTGACCACGTTGAATGAGGAGTATGATGGACAGATGATTTTTTTTTATGATCGTCAAAGGAAGTTGAGATGTAAATTTTTATTTTCAGATACAAAATGAAGTTTGGATTTCCATTTGTGATTTGCGTTCGTGAGGCGTCCAAGTTTGATGCGATTCTTAAAGGAGTTAGCGAGCGAGTCAATAATACTCCGGTGCAAGAGCTTGAAATCGGACTCGGAGAGGTCAAGAAGATTTGTAGATTAAGGATTTTGGAATTGGTCAATAAATTGTGATGGGATAGAAGAGGATCAACTGTTTTTTTTTTTAATTTGATTTTAAATTTAACAGAAGTCTTTTACAGCCTTTAAATGATTTATAACTACTGCAGGGCTGGTAGCAGATCACTTTTTAGTGACTTGGTGACTATATACAAGTCAGTAAGTTTTTCATCAAAAAGTCACTAAAGTCACTATTCCTTAAAATTTAGTCACTAAAGTCACTTTTTTACGACCAATGTCTGTAAACCAATGTCTGTAAAGAATTTGACTTTAAAAACACAGAGTAAAGTCTGACAAGGAGAGTTGCGAACATATGGAAACGTTAACTGTTGACGGAATCTAATATTTTGATTTTTTTTTTATCTTGAAATTGTCATAGACCTATCATAAATTTTCGGAGATTTCCAAAAAATGTCTAGACACAATATTCTGGCTATTTCACATTGAGATCTTAAAAGTTTTCCAAGCCTACATTGCAAAAAAAAAAAGTTACGTAAAATTCACCTGAAAAGGCACGTAGATATTTTTCATCACACTTTTCCACAGGACTGACATCAAATGTTTCCACTATGGGATTTCACAAATTTGACAGTACCCTCTTGACTGGTCTATAAATTTATGACCCATAAGGCCGTTCGCAATGCTAAGTTTCAAAATTGTTTTAAACTCCTTGACAATTCTATAATTTGAAACTGTCAAAAATAAAACTGCAACACGATCAGCGCAACGCACAGTTCTAAAAGATGTTTGTAATCATCAAGTTCCATAAACTTTACTGTTTTCTATGAAGTTCATAGAGTTGTTTGTGAAGCTCTTCGAAACATCTTTAAATACATACAAAGAAATTTGAAACAGAGTTCCATTCGTGTTTCAAACTCGCTCAGAAATAAAACAGAATAGTCGAGCAGTTGCAAATCTGGTGCAAAATAGTGCTCGAATAATGAAACTGCAACTCAGCATTGCGAGAGGTGCGTTTCTGTTCTAGTTTCAAATTGAAACAATCCTTATAAAATACAACAGCATTGCGAACGGCCTAACAAACTTGAACAACACATATACGAACTTTGCGGCTGTATAAGCTTTTTTACGTGACGTCTTGATGACAGTTCCTGGCGGGCCACTCGAACGCGCTCGAGGCATTGTTATTGTTTACGTCTGATGTTTTTGTTTTGATTTTGGTCGTGTTATGTCAACAAATCGGCCCGCTGGTAAACGTCAAAATAGGTAAACAGAAAAAAAAAACAGCTGACTCGAAACGTCTCGTAAAATGTCTTATTGCATATTTTACAGCTGCCGCTTACATCGCATGTGTTTGTTTTGCGTTGGTTGTAAGTGTGTGAGTGAAAAATAGCAGACAACATAAAAATGCTGGCTTAGCAGCCCCTTGCACTTTTCAGGTGAATAATACGTGTTTTGGGGGAGGGATTACATTTGAGTGATTCACATAGAAAGCAATTGATTTTCACGTAAATTTTATCCGACTTTCCGATGATCTTCAAATTGGCATTTTTTTTAAAGTTACGGATATTAGCAAGTAAATGTTACTGGATTTTGTAATAATTATAAAGTTAATTGGTGGTAGGCTATGGATATAATATTATATTTCGATTTATTTACATTCTAGGAAATACGATATGATTGCATTCTAGGAACAAAAACAAAAACACTAATTTACATTATTTAATAATTGGCACTGATGATCTCGAAGTTGAAGTACATTAACCGTATAGTAGCACCCTTATAGTTCGTCAATTAATGATTGTTAGCACCTCAAACAATCCATTCCCGTATTCTGCAATTTCATTTTATTTTTATAAATGAGTGTTAGTTTATAAAAATTATAAAACTTTCGCTTGAAAACACGAAGATGCCTGGTAATTCCAACTCGTCCAACAACGACGAAAGTGCACTTTCTTCTATCGCCATTTTCGAATTACGAATACGACGAGAAATTGTTCATACCATGAAATCACGAAAAACTTACTTGAATTTCACTTAACCTTCATCAGCATGACATGTGGACTGGTTCAGTCAATCAAGTGGAATTCATTACCATGTCATTGCATTTTATGTGCGGCACGTGAATCTTATTGAATTCCTATTTTGAAGAGGTTACCTGAATTTTCAGGTAAAATTACTTTTCGCGTTGGTTCAATGTTAAATGTCAAAAACGGTCTAGAAAAATTTTCAAACTCTCGTAATTTGTTCAAAAGCCAGAAATTTGAATAATATGTACCCCCGGTACACACTAAGATTATTTCACCGAAATCTCAACAGCTGAACGTTCGGTAAACAGTTCGGTGATATTTCGGAGGGGGGCGACACATCTAAATCTCAATTGTAGATGCTCAAAAAATCTCACACTAGCGAATCAATCTTCGAAAAATCATCTTTCATTTCTGCATCTACTTGCATCGTTCACAGGATCGTTCATCATCTTTTTGCAGGAAATCTTCAAAATCGACATAAATCTTCCTTTTATCTACTCAGCGTGCGTGCAGCTAGCCACAGCTAAACACAATCTTTTCTGCATCGTAGATAGAGTCGCCCCCCTCGGATAATTCACAGTTTTCCTGTAAATTTTCACCGAATATCTGTAAAAAATTACAGGAAAACTGTGAAAAATCACCGAACTGTTTACCGAACGTTCATCCACAGACAAACAGACATAACATATTGAATATTTCTCACTGAAAAACATCGTCGCTATCACATTACCGCCATCTGTTGAGTACACTGTGGTAGGTAGTACGCTGAACAGATGGCGGTAGTGTGTAAACGTCAAACGCAAAGGAATTGACTATGCGCGCCACAGGTGGTGGTACTACTAACCTCGATACTTTTAAATTGACCGTTAAATGCTTGTTCGATGAACAAATTGCGAGTTTTATGTCTGTTTGTCTGTGGCTCAGCTGTTGAGATTTCGGTAAAATTTCACAGATGTCGGTAAAATAATCTTAGCGTGTAGCTTTAGTACTTGTCCAAACATCGAGAAAAAAAAATTATGTCACAGATTCTTGAGTTCTTTTTTAAGTCCATTAATTGACCACTTTGTCAAGCAGTTTTGGCGTGACTTTCTACCACACACTTAATTTTTTTCGCCGAGATTCCAACAGTTGAGTAATTCTGCAATTTATTTTGCTGAGATTCAGTCAAACAATTGCCGAGACTCAGCTAACAAATAACATTTTGCTGAGATATCAGCTAACAAACAGATATTTTGCAGAGATATCAGCCAAACGGAATGTCGAAGTAACCGGCTGTTGGAGATTTTACCGAGTTAGATTAAGTGTGTAGCGATTTCACAAAACTGGACCAACTAAATTTTATTTTTTAATGAAACGCACAAATTATGGCTACTTTTCTCGAGGTTCTAGAAGAAAAATCTCAAAATAATGTGTTATTTCAAAGTTCGAGTGGTAGTAAATTTCAACAGCTCTAATGAAGTGGTTGATTTGTATTGTATTTTTTCCATACTAATATCTCCGACAAACCGACATGAATGACCATAGCAAAAACAATAATATTTCTGACCAAAGCACACCACTGGCATCTGGCTTCGTGTTCGCGGGAAATATTTACAAAGCTAAGCCATGAAACCTAAAGCCCTACAGTAAAAGTATGGACGACTGTTACCACAAAACTGAAAAGAAAAACTGTTCCAATCGAGCAAAACGGTGCATTTTGACGGTTCGATTGGATCAACTTTTGACAGACGTCCATACTTTTACTATAGGGCTTTAATGAAACCGCATGCAAAAGCTATGAATTAATTATATTGTCGAGCAGTTTTGGGACGACCTTCTACCAGCGATTTTACGGAAATGAATCAATCAATTCCAGATTTTTCAAACATTTTACAAATAAGACCCTATTTTCTCGAGGTTGTAGAAGAAAAAATATTAAAATATTGTTCCACGTTAAAGTTCGAGTGGTAGAAAATGTCATTTTAAACTGCTCGAATGATGTGATCCATTGGCTCGTGTCTGATCTATTCTGGACAAATTATTTTTATCTAGATAAAAATCTCCTAAGGTTTTGACAGTTCGGATCACTGCACGTTTAAATCGGCCGTTTACGATTTTCGGGCATTAGTTAGAATTAAGTGTCATGTCGATTTGTCGGTGTTAATCTTCCGGTAATCTGTAACCGTTTGTTACAAAACATGTTAGATTTTTAATTTGTGCATAGTTGTTAAATGTACCGTCACGTCTCTTAAAGTTATTTGGTGTTGGATTAGTAGGGTTAGTAGTCGTTGTAAAAAAAAATGTTAATTTGTTAGTAGGATTAATTGTTTTTAAATTTGAAAATTATATAAAACCGTACAACAGTACAGTGGGTATGAGTATTCTACCAGTGGGTACAACAACATTCGGGCGAAACTACGAATTCAAAATGGGTGGAAAATAACGTCTAACGAGGAGAGCAATGGGATGGGAAAAGCGCGAAGGAAAACCGCCATTCCTTAATCAGTATCTGGCGTTCGTGTGCTTCGGACCGTTAAAACCAAGTGTCCTCAAAGTAATAAAAGTGAGTGTTGAATCGCGGGAATACCTATCTGTTCAATCAGGACCTTTTTGTGGTACCATTCGGTACAGCGCCATTTTGTGAACCAACCGACTAAGTCGGTCAGGAAGCACACGAGTCGGATTATTGGTCCTTAGTGGCTATTATCCTAACAGTAAAGGACATCATTTCGATTTGGCATTGCAAGGTCAAAATCGCCGCATTCCTCGGGCCAAGGCGGCTCTAAACGCAAAAGAGGACCCCTCTCAGCAGAGTCACTCCGGCCTTGCCTGGACTCTGGTGATTCTCGTCAACGAGGGTAGACGCCAGGAGACCGCAGATCGCCATCGAGTTAAGTCGATCTGTTGTTCCAACATCACCACCCTGTCAGGCTTGATTCGCCCGACGTCAAGCTCGTCGTACGTAGGATCATCGGCAGAGTAGTCTTCGGCAGAGCAGAATCAACGGCAGCAGTTCAGTACCGGTACGTCAAACCCCCAAAAACCCACTGTACATCCA